GTAAGTGTGGCCAGTTCTCTGCGGTTGAGATAGAAATGTTCTCTCGGAGAAGGGTGTTAAAATCCCAATAACTATGCTTAGTGCTGTAAAATAGCGGTTTTTTACAGTGTGGGGCGCTGTTGGAGGATTCCAGAAGGCCAAATTGTATTAAATTAAAAAGATATGGTTGATGTTTTCAAGTCAAAGGTGACTTCTTCAGATAAAGTTTCTTAGCCTGATGATTTTAAGAGGTGTGGCTTAACCAACTGTGATTTCCTTCAGAAACTGCTGTGTATTTCAAGCACTTACAGTAATTCTGATAAAAGCCAGGTTAAATGCATTTATTTGAGTAGAGATTGAATATTTGACCACGTGGAGTTGTTGCTAATGGTTTAAATATTATTTCCTTAATAAATTGTACTTGTCTCTCTGAAATAAAGGAATAGGAAGGGCTGTAGGCATTTAGTGTACTACTCGTGACAAATGTTGTTGTCTTATTGTAAGTATCTCCTTATACAAGCTGTTTTTAAAATCTTTCCTTTTTGTTCTTGCTTGAATTTCTATGTACAGAGCTAAATAACTTGCTAAATTTATTGGGGGAATGTGAGTAAAGGGCTGTTGTTAATTGGTGCGTGTTCTGCAGGTGCACTGTAAGGGCTTTTGCTTTCTTTGTCTTGTAAGCAACATGGAATTTCCTTTCTTCTCACTGACTTGTCTCATTTTTTGGATGAGGTCTTTTTTTATCTGGAAAAGAATAATCTGACTTAGAAATTGTCTTCTGTAAATTCAACTGACCTTTAAGTAGGCAACAGATTTAATTAAAAATCCTTTACCTTGAAACCAGTAATAAGGTTACTGTGGGTTTGGGGTTTTTTTTTTGGTTATTTGTTTCAAATAACTGGATGTGTAGAAACACCCGACGGATTTAAATGATGGGCAAATTTACCTAGTGGTTATTTATTTCAAATAACTGGATGTGTAGAAACACCCACGGATTTAAATGATGGGCAAATTTACCTAGTAGATACTCAAACTGAATAAGGAAATGAATTATTCAAAAAGACTCACCCCTTTCAAATGGTGTCACAATGATGTGTGTTTGGCCTAAACGCAGGGCTGGTTGTGAAGAGTTCTGTGGGTTCTGTAGTGCAGCATATTTTCAGGAGAGCAGTTCACTGGTATTTAAGGAGCAGCGCTCTGCAAGGAGTGGGTTTAGCAGTACAGAGCATCTATTGGGAGTGTGTTGGTTAAGATTTCAAGTGATTCTTGCTGCTTAAAAATTATAGTAATTTAATTTATATTAAAACCAATACTCTGTAAAGTAGGTTTTGCAAAAATCTGGAGCTCTACATCTGCCGAGATTATACTGACATTTTATTCTTTTATTTTTTTATTTAAAAACCCTAGATGAGCAACAACAGTAATAAGAGAGCACCCACAACAGCAACGCAGAGACTTAAACAAGACTACCTTCGAATTAAGAAAGATCCAGTGCCTTATATCTGTGCAGAGCCTCTCCCATCGAATATCCTTGAATGGTAAGAGGTGGAACAAACTGTTTGCTCACTTATGGAGAGAACAGACCTTTCCAGGTCATCAAGTCCGACTCCCTTGCTCCTACAGCTTGTATGGAAAACTCGGGTTTGGGAGGTGGCGTAGGAGCCTTTTGCTGAAGCAATATTGATTTATTTATTTTTTCTGGACAAATCGATACTGTGATGGCTTTTGTATTGTTTAAATTTCCTTCTTTGTTTTAGGCACTATGTTGTCCGGGGACCTGAAATGACTCCTTACGAAGGTAAAAGTTCGCATGTGGCAAAAATGTGCGTGTGTTTTAGGTTAGGCTTGGCATGCCTAGGTCATCAGGTGCCTGTTTGAATGGGCAAAATGTAACGACTGTAAATAGCTGTAAAAACTGTTAGTGCAGTGTCAAAGTTGTCCATGACCTGTGTGATAGCTTAATTAATTACTAAAGGTCTTGGAGTGTATGAGTGGGTTGTACGTGACAGTCAAAGATAATTTCAAAAAATCTCATTTTGTGACCACTTAAAGGTGAACTGAGACATATGTTCTCTGTCTTAATTTCTCTGGAGAAAGCAAAGAGCATAAAAGCCTTTTTAATTTGTTGTAGTCACAAAATCTTTTAGAAACTGGATTCTTCGTAGGATTATATTTGCAGTTAGCCGTGGTTTTGGGAGGCTGACCCTTTTGTATTGTATCAAATACGCTGTGGCTGGTTTGTATTAAATATATGATGGACTGGACAACTGGAAGTCCTGTTTGCAATGTGCACGTGAGAGAATTGCCTTCAAAGTAAATCTGCCGCAGGTATGGATGATTTTTCCTGTGGTTTAGAGGCACAAAATCGAGGAGCTTGATCTTTTTAGTGTGAGGGGGAGGAGCAGGCAAGTAAAGAGTTTTATGTGGTCCATTTTGAGTAGCAGTTTAGGTCTTCATCTTCGTGCAAAATAAGTAATTCATCTCTTTATGTAACGCAGGTGGCTATTATCATGGGAAACTAATATTCCCCAGAGAATTTCCTTTTAAACCTCCTAGTATTTATATGATTACACCTAATGGAAGGTTTAAGTGTAATACAAGGTAAGGATTTTCTTCTAACCCTTAAGCAATTAACACCATTTTAGCAATATGTGCGACGTGGGATCTTTTTAATGACAAAATTAAACCGTGCTGCCTGTCGTATCCTTTTAAAGGTTGTGTCTTTCAATCACCGATTTCCACCCGGATACGTGGAATCCAGCTTGGTCGGTCTCGACGATCTTGACGGGCCTTCTTAGTTTCATGGTGGAGAAGGGCCCCACACTGGGCAGCATAGAGACCTCCGAGTTCACAGTAAGCTCCGACTTTGGTGGCGGTGCTGTTTGTCAGCAACACTGAACGTGACCTCAGAGTTCAAACAGCAGCAGCAGCAGCTGGCATTTGGATATCTTGGACATTTAATGTATAGTTGCCTGCTGCAGATGATGGGCAGGTGAATTAAGTAAATTTTGGGGAGTGTGGGGATGGGGAGAGGGTTTCTGAGAGAGCTTAAAATCCCTTTTAGTGAACGATATGGCCAGGACTTTTCTTCCTTCCTTCCCTGTGAAGTGTCTGCCAAGCAGGCACACTAGGACACAACACTGACCCCTTAAGGTGACAAACTGAGGACATAACTTAAGTCTAGAAAATGTCTGTTGTGGTGAATAGCATTCACAAGTATGGAACTTGAAATGTTAAAAGCTAGTCAGCTGGTGGTTTGCACCATCCTGGTGGGAAATAATCAGATGTTGAATTCAAGTGTGTTGACTTTGTTTATATGCAACTGCTGATAACGTTTGTTTCTTCCACAGAAAAGACAGCTCGCTGCACAAAGCTTAGCATTTAATTTAAAAGATAAAGTCTTCTGCGAGCTCTTCCCTGAAGTGGTAGAGGTAAGGGCATTCAACTCTGCACTAATTTTTCTCCAGAGTTCTTCAACTTCTCTGTGTAGATCTGTAAACTGATGGTTTAGGGCTTTTCCTGGACAGTAGCTGGTTGTCACTCGCAGAAGCCTTTTGAAAGGTGCTTTTGCTATGTGTGAGAATTAAAAACTTGAATCTTGAAGCGGAATTGGTTTTCTGCTGCACAAACATTTTATAGAGAGTCCAATACGTGTATTTAGGATTGATACCAAAGCCTTGATTGAGCTCTGTGTGCAGCGGACATGGTTACGGTCCCAATATTTTAGAACTGCGTGCTGGGTTTTCTTGAGTTTGGGTAGGACTAATCTTTGTGTGTCTGGGCTTGGTCCATCAGTACCCTAGGTTATTTTTCTTTAATTCTCCCTTAAGATCGGAGTCTGTTCTTTCTTCCTGCTTAACTTCTGTGATATCTTTTTGGGGAGACAGTACAAATATATGTAATGCAGTTAATTTAGTGTAAAAGACCTACAATATAAAGAAATGTGCTGTATCCTTTTCCTAAAACGTTTGCAATCTTTTCAAAACACCCAATACCTTCACCGCTTACACTTCTGGCTGTTCAGTTTTCTTTTTTCTTCTTTCTCCAGGAGATCAAGCAAAAACAGAAAGCACAAGAAGAGCTCAATAACAGACCTCCATCCCTCCCTTTGCCAGATGTCGTCCCTGACGGGGAAGCACACTACGGTCAGAATGGAATTCCCCTTCTTAACGGGCACGTACCCTTGGCACCTGCCAATCATCCGGGTCTCCAACAGGCCAATCGTAACCATGGACTTTTAGGCGGAGCTTTGGCGAACTTGTTCGTTATAGTTGGTTTTGCAGCCTTTGCCTACACAGTCAAGTACGTACTGAGAAGCATAGCGCAAGAATGAGGATAATAAAACCGAGACCAAATTAGTGATAGTTGCAGAATGAGTGGGACTCTTTTTGGGCATCTGACTCTTGACACTGGGATAAATATTTGTTTTACCAAGTTGCGGGTAAAACGTTGGTTGGCTCATGGGTTATGTTTGGGAAGTGGAGTAGTTTTGGTTAGTCAGAAAATTAAAAGAAGTTCTGCTCGCAGATCCTCTTGTCCTCGCTACTCTCTAGTAGTGGCTCACAAGCAAGTCAAAGCATTATTGATGAGACGCTAACATTTCTAGTGCTTTGATTTTTATAGCCGTTCTCCATCTGTTTGAAATTTGAAAATCTTAAGCAAATAAGGCTTTTTACTTCATTAAACAATTTTTAAAATTTCACAGTTTATGCATATCGTATTTTATTTTCATTAGGGAAGAGTCTGAAATGATTCAAGTAGAAGTTCCATGTGGACTTGGTAAGGGTTTGATTAATGTGACCATGGATGCTACAGAAGATTGCTGGTTTCTTTTTTTAAAATAGAACAAACATCATTGCATATCTAGCCAGTAGTGATTAGGTGAGTGGGAAAATGACACCATGTGTGTTAAATGTGTTGTCTAATTGTCACAATGTCATTGAAGGTTTTATTTGGGCTACAGGAAGTGCAGTTCTCGGCCTTTTGAAATGATTAGCAAGAAAAAACATTGGAATCAGGATACCCTTATCTAGTATTGTTTTGGATTTGTTCACTTACAGATTTCCATTTGGGGAGATGTTATATTTGCAAGCTGTAATACTTAATTCTGATCACAAGGTGCCACTGTTGAAAAAAACAATAAAACTGCACACAGAGATGGAGAGTTGATTGTGTATGTAGAAAACCTCCGAGTTTCTTGGGCTTTGGTAAATGAAGTCACCTTAGCCCTTGTGAAGATAAAAAGACAAATGAGTTTGAGTAACCAGCTTCTTCAGAGTCAGCTGAATTAATCTGAAGTGTCACTAGTAAAGCCTTAAAATTCTGCTTGCTTGAAGATTTTCCTAAAAACAACAAAAAAAACAAAAGCCACCACAAAAAGCGAAACACTTCTAATAATTCATCTGAGATTCTAGATGTTTTTCCTTTTAGGTCTAAGTTCAAAAATCACTGTTCCCCTTCAGATGGTTGATGACTGAAACACTGATGTTAGTTCATGGGATCACAGGACTGTGGATAAACAGTGAAGCTCATAGGGTGGTTCAAAAGTCTGCCTGAAATGACTTCTTAAACTCAGTTTGCTTGGGTTTCCCCCACCGTGCTTAATTTTATCCGAATGCTTTGTTTCATCAGAGGCAACCTTGCCGTGCCTTCCATATTGACAGGGATGCCTTGTCATCTGGGGAAGAACTCCGCTGTTCGCCGTACAACAAAGGTGATGGCAGAGTACAAAGCTCTGCATCTCGCTGCGTAGTCTTATTTTAAGTATTGTGGAGAGCCCAAATGAATTTTACCTCGTGTAGCTAAGAAGGTTTTTGAAACCGTTTTGGTTTTCCCTTTCAGACTTGTTCTCTCTCTGCTTCTCCTTGGTATCTTGAATTGTAAGCAGCAAAAGTGGTGTTAACCCATGAGCCACGCAGCTTAGAGCATCAATAAATGTGACCAATTCTCTGCAGTAGGTAGGAGTTATCAGAACTAGCAGACAGCTCTATACTAAAGAAATCTTAAAGCGATTGAGGTAGGGAAGGAGGAAATGGGGTGTGGGGGGATGGAATTTGGAAAAAGCTGGGGTTTCAAATGTATTTATAAATCTTTGATTTATTTTTTTCTTTTAATTTTATTTTTGCGGTTTTACCAAATCTTATTTATAACTATTTTTTAATTTGCCTCTTGTATACGCTTGATCAGCTCTTGTAAAAAGAGAAGCACCACTTGTATCTGTCTAGAAATGGGTACGTTCTGTCAGTCTTGGGGAGTGCTGGAAAAAGAGGTGGGGTGTCGTGTCTTTCCTGCAGTGGTAGGATTTTTCAGGGTGGCTTGTCAGAGTGCTTGTGTTTTTCTCAAAATGTGTGGACCTGCAGCTGGGGCTGTTCTGCTCTTGGCATCATTCAGACGTGTTTGTGTTCTCGCAATGCCTTTTATTTCTATTGCTGTCACCTACAGACAGACGCTTGTAACTGGTTTTCTGTGTTCTTACCTTATGGGAGTTGTTTTGTCCACATAAATGAAGACAAAGGCAAGGAGACGTGGGGCGTTGTGTGTTGTATCTGCTGTGCCGTGTACCTAAGCCAAGGTAAAAGAACGAGTAAAATCGTGCTGAATCAAAGGCGGTTTGTTGTGCGACAGGTAGGCCTTAAGCTACACCCAGGCATTTGGAGGTGGGTCTTCTGCTTTTAGTAAGTGCCGCAATTGGAAACAAAAAAACGTTAAAGCCTGGACATGCTGCCTTTTTTTTTTTTTTGAGGGTTGGTTGTATTTTAAAAAATAAAAAATTCTGGTTACGGTTTCTGTTTAGTCCCCTGGATTCAGAGAAAGATTTGACAGTCATTTGAGGTGCCATTTGTTAAAAGCTGGCAGAACCCTTGCACCTATGGCTTACAAGAGTTTGATACATCTCCTTGCCTTTGGTAACGGAAGATTTATTCCCTTTTTGTGTAGCTTTTACTGTTTTGTGTTGGTTTTTTGTTTTTTGTGTTTTGTTCTAAACGAATTTAGAATAGCGTGCAGTTATCTGATCTTTTTGTTACCAAAGTCATTAGATGGAATAAACCATTCTTTGCCATCCAACCATACGATCGTGCCCTGAAGCAGCGCGTTGCTTAATGTAATGGAACGAAAAGCTGTCCCTCAGTATATGATACTGGAACAAATGTCTGGCCCTTCACTTTCATGCTGCGATTTCATAGATTTCCGCAAGGTTGTTTTACGCAGGCGGTAGGAAGCTTTTGCGGCTTGAATCAAAAGACGCCTCGACGGTCACCCTCAAAGATCTCGATTTTTAAAATCCTGGATTTGTGTGTAGTCACAACTTTTCTCCCCTTAAGATTTCAAGGTCGCAGAAGTTACCTTACTCGAAGCATGTACTGAGGAGTAGAAGTGACTGCATTGTAAAGTTGTTTGTTCATAATAAACATTCATGATAAAATGTATACTTTCTGTGGGACTGTTTTTGGGAAAGCCATCAGTGGGAGGAAGTATGACTGGATATATATGGACTAAAACAGAGAAGCTGGGGCAAAAGGTTGGTTGTGGGGATCCAAAACGTGGTGGGTTATAATAGCAATTTCTTTATAACATAAAGTGAGGGTTTTTTTGCTTGACTGACATCTCCCAGGGCTGAGCTGTGTCCTAATTTTTATGAAATGATGCATTTTCCTTGATAATAATTTGTTGCTGTTAATGACTTATATCACAACGCCTGTCACAGGAAGAGGAGTAGCGTACAAGGTGATACTTTTCTCGCTGCCCAGGCCAGATCTTAAAGCAGAAAAATTGGGTTTTCAGTGGCAAAATCGCCTAAGGGGAGGATACGAAAAATGACCTTGAAACATTCGTATCACATGGTATTGAAAAGATTTTTCTGGGCAACAAAGGAGGATGGTTTGTTGGGGTTTACTGGGAACGTTTCGACGGGTAAAGCTGTACCTCAGCAATGTTCCCTTGCGCCCCTCGCTCCGAAGAGCTGCCTGCAAGAGACACAAGTCGCGGATTTTCCCTGTTTCTCCGGGTGTCTCTGTGGATTTGCCACGAGGTGGCGTCGCGATCCCGCGTGGGACTGGGCCGGTGGCTTTCGCGGGGGGCAGTGGATGGGGACAAGAGCCGAATGCAACAGGCTGGGGAGGGGGACGACTCTTTTGAAGACTGAAGTCGCCGTAAGGACTCTGTCCACCTTCCCAGGTTTTGGTTTGTTCTAGCAGGTTTTGTGTGTTAACCCCGTCAACAGGTTTGAGTTTGTATTGGATTAGTGTTGGGAAACTTCTCCGTTAAACCGAAGGGATGTGTCATAGGAGTATTCCAGACCTTTATCCGCAGCGAAGCGGTGAGGGGTGTGCGCGTCAGGGAATGGTCACGGGCCTCCTGCTGCACTGGCTTCAAAACCTGCCGCTCTGTACCGAGGCTTAGGAGTTGCTCACTGTACCTGCAGCGGACAACTCCGGGAAAACCCTCCCTTCTGACCTTTTGCCCTTTGGATATTATTCTTAGCGTGTTCTTAGGTGTATCTTGAGTAAAAGGTGAATTGCCTAAGTAGAGTTTGAACGATCAAGTTGCAGGTTTCTTGCCTATTCGGTTTCCTCTCTAGCTTTACAAACACTTCTTACAGTGTTTGCAAACACTGTGTCTGGGCTCTTGCACAGTTTTGAAATCGAAGGGTGGCTTCTTCCTAGGATCTTCCCTATTTCAAAACTTTGCTGGTATAAAATTGATGCTGTAATGTAATGCTGCGACGGGGCTGAGTTTAGAGAAGAAACCATTTACCATTTGTTAGTCACTTTGAGATCCTTGCTTTGCTGTGCTGTGAAATGCCACATTGGCCTATTCCTTTGGTTTTTTCTTTTTTTTGCAAACGGGGAGTGAATGTTCAGGCAAGACTCAGGTACTTTGAGGCTGCTGGAAGTGGAGTGAATGTTCAGGCAAGACTCAGGTACTTTGGGGCTGCTGGAAGTCGGACGCAGGAACAGCAGCAGGAAGTTGTGCAATTTTCTACAGATAATACAGGTGCTGAATTGAAGATTGGAGAGGTAGCAACTGTGCTGATGCTTGGTTTAACCCAACGTAGGGAGTTATCTCCAGTCAGCTTATCCTGCTGGACCATCAAGTAGTGTCACCTTGTGCTTGTGACCGTAGTTAGGATTTCCTTCTCTCGAGTCTGAGGATAGGGTCTTGGGATTCGGCTCTCGGGGTGGGAAAGGAGATGTTGCAGGCAGACAGATGTAGCTCTGCGCCAGCAGAGCAAGAAAACGATTGCCCCGTTCCAGCCTTGGATGTCATTGCTTGCCATGGTGTGTGGATCTGTCGAGCTGTTTAGCTGCAATGACAGATTGTCCTATTAATGTGTCATCAAGTGCACTTTTACAAATTCATGACTTGTCTACAACTAACCTGAAAAAAAGAGGCTTAAGTATGAGAAGGCGCCAAAGAAAGTTAAATATTATTAACAAATAAAGTCTGCCACGTAGTTTTGATGGAATGTGAGCTTGCTGGGGGAGGGGTGATATGCTGTTAACTATTTAGCTTCTGTGTAACTTCCCTTCTTGCTCTTACTCTCTTCTCTTTCTTCTCTCAAAAGATGCTGTAAAAAAAAAAAAAGAAAAAAAAGTGTTCTGCTTATTGATTTGGCACTCACATTGTTCGTGCCTCAGTTTCCTTGAGCCATGGGTTTAGAACTGGTTGCTCCTGATCCACCCTGACTGCTTTTACTGTCCGATGAAGAACTGTGTGGGTGTTATTATTCGGATTATTATTCAGATTACAGCAGGCATGGTAAAGGGATTGTTAAAAGCAAGCAAATCTATTGCTTGCTGACTGCTTCAGGGACTTCAGACAATGTGATCTTCAACCTTTCATCCTTCTTGGACTTTCTCATGAGAACATGCCCAGAGAAATTTTTGCATCGCGCTCCGTATTTGTAGAAAGAATGGGAATATTTGTTCTAGGTGGTGGGCAGCTGAACAAGATTTGTAAAGTGTCCAAGTACTTCAAGATTTCCCTCATGAAGTGCTTGTAGGAGATGTGTAGCCTTTGGTTTTCAGTTCTCTTTAATAAACTGAGCAGCCTCTGATGAGAGCTGGGGGAAAACGAGCGCAGCTAACTAGAGTGCACAGCGAGAGTTCTGGTGTATCACCGTGTGGTGCGATGCTGAGTACGTATTCCAAGCCACATATTTTTAGCTCTACCACACGCTCCTGCACTGTTTTACAAACTTCCCAGAAAAATGGTGATTTCTCTGCGATAATGAAGGGGAGGTACAGAATAGGGCTGAGGGGAGGGAGCAGGGAATGGGCATTGATTTAAATCTGCCTGGCACACGGGGCCAGCTCCACTTATCAGTGAGTCTAATAGGAATGTGAAGAGAATAGGCTTGACAGCTCATTAGAATGTGATCCCTCCTCCTTTTTTTTCTTTTTTTTTTTCTTTTTTTTTTTTTCCCCCTTTCTTGATGGAAACTCATTCAGGAAAGAAGTACTTATTTGCTGAGGTAAAGCAAAAGCTGAGGAGGGTTTTGCCAGTGTGCAGCTGGGGAAAGGAGCAGCGAGAAAAATCAGACGTGATCTACACTCAGAGGTACCTGAAATCTTTCCTAGTGTGAGGGCAGATGAGGAGGAAAACGACACAAGATTCTACATCCTGACAGCTGCTTGCGGCATCGGGACTTACTGCTCATCGTCTCACTAAGGAAAAGTGAAGATAAACTCAGCTAAAGAGGGGAAAGAATCTAGACCTGGGAAAACTGTCTGTTCCTAATGGACCTAGGTACATCCTCAGATTCTTTGCTTCTTGTTTTAACTTTTCCAATATGAGAAATTTTTCTCCTTAGAAGGCTGAGCGCTTGGCTGAGCTGTGATGCTTTCAGCCTCTTCAGAAGAGTAGTGGCTGTAGCAACCTTGGATTACAGTTCCCCAGCATCTTGAAAGGGAAGCATGAGGACTTGTTGCTGAGGACAGGGAAGTATCACTCAAGAGAACAACGCATGGAAGGTATTCAAGCCTGCTTTGAATTGAACACAGTGTTTCGAAGGACAGAAAGTGAAATCTCCTGTTGAAGAGGAACAACCTAACAATCCCCCCTAATGAGTTTGTGTTGTCAGCTCCAGCCGGAGCAACTGTTGCCCTGAGCAATTTGACTTCTCCAGGTTTCATAGTTGAGTGCATTTTAAACGAGTCTGAAGACTTATTTGGGGGGGAGGGGGGGGCAGGGAAGTGACACTTCAAGGTGGGTGGCAGGACTTTCCAGGGCCTCTTGTATTTATGTAAGCTTCAAGAGGCTGAATGGACTTACCTCTTTCTTCGAGTGAATCCAGATTTTCAAACAAGTTTATCTATACCATTTCCATGTGTCCTGCCTGAACAGAGATCTCGCCAGCAACCAGCGCATCCGTGCGTGCTGCTCGCTTGACGTTGCGTAGCCCAGAGGATCGTCTTTAACAGTTCTAACCTATTTATCTTTCTTTTTTTTTTTTTTAGAGAGAAGTCTGCGTCTATTCCTATTACTGGTGGTGAAAGTTTTTGTGCTTGGAGAGTGTTCTTCCTGACTTGGCCCCTCCCTTTTCAAAATGAAGGGGTGCACCTGGGTATTTGTGGCAACTTTACTTTGTCAGCAGTTTTGCCTCTTCAGAGTTACGGCAGCAAAGAGAGAGAGGAAGATGAAGAAGGAACCGAATCAGTATACAGAGCCTTTCAATGCTACCCTCTCGAACAGCGAAGAACTGCACGGGCATCCCAAGGTACGTGTTTATGTGTCATCAGTGCTTGGTAGAACCTATTTCTGGCTGTAATGTGATGCCAGTTCCTTTTTTTTTCCTCCAATGATTGAGGCAATCTTGCCAAATTCCTATTTGATTTTGAAGAGAAATGCTCTCTCTTTTGCCTTTGCATGATTGATTTTCTAGCTTATGGAAGCAAATACCGGAATGCTACAATTTATGATTATTATTTATTTTTGAATATGCATGACTGAAGTTCTAGCCCCATAGTAGCTCATTAAGTGTAAAGGCATTTTTGAGTTCTCTTGTCTGAGCTCCATCCTGTTCAAAACCAACTGATTTTAAAGAGGCAAGTGGGCTGTCACAGTACAGTAATTAAACGGGAATATTAATGTATCTCTTGGAGGCAAACCCTTTACTCTCTGAAATGTAATTTCAGCACTTTCTCAGGCAAATAGAACAGCATAAACATCTGAGCATGCCTGAGCTCTCTCTGCACTGCACCTTCCACCAGAGAGGCTGCTGAGATTGAAAGTTACAGATGAGAAACTTATGATGTAGCCAGATAATCTGTTCGAGGTGATTGTAGCTCTCATAGGAAAGGATTCAGGACGGTCCTAACTGTGTGTGAGTGGTGATTGTAAGACTCTGTGTTCGATACCTCAGTGGCTGTAGCTGGTGACTTCTTAGGCTTAGTGAGTGAATTTTGCAGGCTAGGATACTCCTAGTTACATTTTTGGGAAAATCATCCCAGGTTGAAAGGTGCAAAAAATTTCCAGTAAATTGATCAGAGCCCCCCGAATCATTTAAGAAGAACATTTGCATAGAATGCCTGGGAATAGGAGAGGGGTTAAGGAATTAAAAGCAGGTCCTAGGGTTAGGAGCAGGATGAAATGAAAGGGAAGCTACAACACTGAGAAAGAAGGGGGTCTCCCCTATCACACAGCCCTTTCTCTCCCACAAAAATGTGCCTTGTTTCGAATGGAGGTGACCTCTAAAACATGACTTTGATCACCAGCATTAGGGATGGCAGTCACTATAGCAATAGAGGAACAAACCTGTCAAAAATTGGGGCATGGCAGAAGGGGCAAGTTAGAACAATTGGGCTGACATTCTAAATGTCCTGTTCAATGCTATTGTGAGAGTAATTGGTTAAGGTTGGGCAAGCCTGGGAAACAGTCCTCTCTAAAAAAACCTGGCTGCTGCCCTTAAAATTGTCGTTAGGGGACCGTAAGCAGCATTTCTTCAGCTCATTTTTTTTTGTTGTGTATTGCAGGGCTCTGTCAGGACAGGTTGTGTACATGCTAAATTCTTGAGGTGCTTATAATCAATCACTTTCTGCTGCTCTCTGGAACTGCTGCGAAACGAGCCAGATGCATTGCTGCAACTAAATTTCCATCTATTCTGGAATTGATTTGGCTTGCTGTGAAACGTATCAGACCACAAGCAGAGTATGTTCTGCTTGCAAAAGCGAGCAGAAATGGGTTCTGGTTAATTCTGCTATAGTCATACTTACAGTGTTGCGGGAAGGAACACAGCGCTCGTTCGGAGTGGGCATTCATTAAAACAGACATTGTTTGGAAGCTGCAGTTTCTGTGTTGAAATACTTTGCTTCAAAATATCCATGGCAAAGGTTTGGCTGCAGCAAGAGCTGGCAAGTTCAGTGAAGGCAGGTTCTGTTTAATAAGGCTAGGATGAAACCAAATCTTTGATGTAAATGCTTATGAGCTCTGCTTGATACCCGCTCCCAAATTTTGGAACGTGAACCTTTGTCCTTGGAGTCTCTTTGAGGGGAAGTCCAGGCTTTAGTTAAGTGTCGTCTCTAAATGTCATGGGAGACTATTGTATTTTATATTTCTATAGCAACTGCCTAAGGCAAGGGAATATTCTACATGTACTATAAATGCATTGCTTAAGAGTTGCCACCATTTCTGGAATAAATGACAGTTGCTGTTTACAGCAAAGCATCGCAATTGTTATTCACTAAGTAAAGATGTAATAGTGAAGCTATCCTTGTCTCACCCATCAAGGAAGGTTGAAAGCAGTTCTCTATGGAAGACTGATCTCTCTGAGCCTTGAAGGTACCCCTGTGAGCAGTTTTGTCTTACAGAAGGATGCCCAGCACAGGAAAGTGAAACAGCAGCAGTGTTGTCCCATTTCATTTCTCCGCAGCACGTAACAGGAATGATGGAATTTTTGTGGCCTTGTGCAGTGAAAATCAAGGCTGTGTTTACCTTGGAAAATTCTGTGGCCAGCTGGTAGGTTTATCAAAGCAGAAGGAAGAGGGAATGAAATATTAGCTGAGAGTAGTGATTTTTATTTGTACTGTTGAAAAGGTAGATGTGTTTTCCTTCTAATTCAGCAAAACAACTTGAGACACATTTCTCTTGGGAATTCTTTTCAAACAGGAGTGGAGAAATCTCCCCTTTAACATTCACAGTGCATGAGCCATGTAGTGAAACCTCACCTAAAAGAGGGAAGCAGGAGTCTCAAATCTCCTGATAAACCTGATATTTCCAAGGAAATAGTAAGTGTGTTGGAGTTTGTATGTGGTTTGGATTTTTTTAAAGTTTTTCTCTAGTCTTATCTTTGTTGAGTTTTTAACAATGTAATGTGCTTGCCAAGGAAATTAGTTTTCCTCTCTGACACAGATAGAAAAGAAAGAGCAGAATGGGACTGATGTGATCTTAGATCTTTTCTTGCAAAATGTGATCTTATACCAACAGGGGTT